CTGCCCCCCTTGCCCCTATGGCAGCCCTCTGCTGTGCCCTGTACCTCCCACCTGCCCCAAAGTAGTGGAGCCCCCAGCACGGTGTTTGGCCCCTGTCCTGTGTCCCTGCATGTGTCCCCGGGCTTTTGGACAGGACCAGCAGGGACTCTGAGTGAGCTGTACCTGCATGACCTTTGCATGGGGGTCTCCCTGCCTCTCTCTGGCTTGCTCATGGCTACCTCCAGTTACTGCTTAACTTTCCTTGGCACAAGCAGCCATCACTGCACTCCGTGACCTTAGGTGAAGGTGGCCCAGGGAGGAGGGCAGCCCTGCTTCAGGTTTTCTTCCTGGGCTGGCCCATGCTGGGTTGCCAGTGACATGTGGGACCCTCTGGCACAGCACTGGCACTGGGCAGAGTAGCAGAGGGCACAGAAACATCCCAACAAAAAAAGGGGGGAAAAAACCCTACAACTAGTGAGTTTCCGGCAGCACTGGAGCTGATGTGGGGGAAGGAGGTTTGGGAGCTTCACAGGTACCCTTGGGCTTTCCAGCTAAGACCTCAGGCCCGAAGTGTTGCCTTGGGGCCCTCCAGCAGCTCTTGGGTTCATGTGCAGGATCCAGCCAGGCATATGGAGGATCCATCACAGATGGCAGGGCATCGCTCCCTTCCCATCCAGGGCATCCCACTGAGCCTGCCAGAGCTTGGGCATGTCAGAAACGAGGATATTTATTGATGCCTCAGCTCTGGGTGCCACACCATGGGCTCACCGGGGCCACCCTGCCCTCCCCTGCCCAGCCATGAGCTCCTACCACAGCACCTGTGTCCTGCAGCAGCCCAGCCTCAGCCCTGCCACAGCCTGGTGACGTCCCTCACTGCAGATGTCAACCCAACCCCTGCTCCTGCTTTGAAGATAGAGGCCCTTCCTGCTCTCACCCTCTGCTACATCAGCCCTGTTCTACAAGCATGGTTTCCCCCATTTCCATAATAAAGCTGGCACAGGGTACCCCAGCTTCTGGAAGGAGGTTGTTACAACTCCCTGTCCCTCCTTTGCTCCCCCCAGGACACCTCCATGGTGCTGAGCTGCTCCTGCCCTGCTCCCAGGCAGGATTACAGGGCCCCCACTGCTCCCCAGGGAACGTGCCCATCACCCTGGTGTCCTGGCAGGCCTCGAGCTGCTTGTTTGCTCTGCCTGGGGGACAGGGGCCATTTTCCAGCAACCCAGCACCTTACCCTTGCTGGGATTTCTGCTCTCCATGGCATGGCAGGGAGCCAGCCATGGCTGTGGCGTGCCTGGGAACCAGCAGGCAAAGGCAGGCCAGCATCATCCAGGGAACACAGTGAGCCCTGTGCCCACACTCCCTGCCAGGGTACCAGGGACATGAGGGGACAACTCCCCTCTGCCTTCCCCACGTTAGCCTGGTCCCATGCTCAGATGTAAGTGATTAGGACAGCTTCAAACCGAAAAGTCATTTTATTGGTACCATACATGACTCATAAATGGCACAAACTATGGAGGGGAGGAAGGGAAAAAAAAAAAAAAAAAGGAAACAAAAAGGCATTACAGTGTGCCCATGGCAGTGAGGGCTCTGCACCCTCCACAGCAGCCGTGCAGCATGGCATGGAGAATCGTACCTTAACTGTGATGCAGAGCCCCCCTCCCTGCCACACTGGGCTCCCACCCCTGCCTGCAAAGGGGCTGTGGGGACCCCCGTGCCTGGGGGTCTGAGCCCTCCAGCTCCGGCCTGCCCATGGAGGGGCCCAGGAGCCAACACAGGCATTTCTCCAGGGATCTTCAGCTTGAGATCATGCCAGGGCTGATTCAAGGCTCTGTCTCCCTGCCCAACCACATGGACAGCAGAAGGAGAGGACACACAGGGTGACCCCCACCCCACCTCAGCAACCTCCTGCAGTCTCACCCAGGAGTGGGCAAAGCATGGAGTGAGTGCTAGTAGCACCCCTGCAGCAGCCAGAGCCCCGGCACAGGCAGGCCCTCAGTGACACCTGCCAGCCCCAAGCCCCATGGAGCAGTGGGACAGAGACTGTGGGATCCCCAGCAGGGAACTGGGGGTGTCTGACAGAGATAATGGAGTGCACCCCTCACTCCCCCAAACTTCAGGGCTGCTCTGCCTGCCCCAGGCTCCCTTACGCACGCAGACAGACACACAGACCTCTCGCACACACACTCTTACACACACTTATACCCCCACTAGGGCAGTCCCCTCCCACAGCAGCACTTGCTGCAACCCCACCATGGGGCATGCCAGGGTGTTCCCACAGGCAGCCCAGACTCCCACCTTCCCCCAAAACCCCACTCCAAGGCTGTTGGGGTGAACTGGTTAGTTAGCACAAACACCCTCCCCCGGCACCTCCCATCCTCTCCTTGGAAAAAGCCTTGGAAGGGATTTTTTTTTTCTCTTTTTTTTTTTTTTAAACCAAAAAAAAACCCCAAAAATTATTATTTTTCTCATCGTTTCCCCTAACATCAATGGAGGCACCTGCTCTAGTGATAACACATTGAAAGAACAGTATCGTACACACTGTCTACAGCGCGGAAATGTACAAGCACGAGGTACACGAACCCGAGGGGGGAGCAGGGACAACAGCACACAAGATTTACATTGAGAAGAGAGGTGGGGGGCTGCACCCCCGGGCCTCTGGAGGGATTAGAAAGGAAGTCTGCAAAGTCTCTCCTTGGTTTGAAGCTCTCCGAACTGGATATAAAATGAGACTTCCAAGAGAAGAAGCCTGTACAAAAGTCAGGACAGGGTGAAAGGGTTCAGGACAGGAGGGGGGAATGGGCAAGGGGGCTGAGGGGGTATTTTTCCATTTTTTTTTTCTTTCTCTTTTTTAAACTTACAATTTAATAATATTATTTTTTTTTCTTAAAAAAAGACAAAAGTAGGAGGTACCAGGAGCCAGGGGTTGCAAAGGGGCCCCAGGCAGACTCACGCAGGGTGGAGGGAAACGCAGGGGCTGCAGGCAGGGAGCAAGGGCACCGGCTGCTCCAGCAGAGCCACGGGTCCTCCGTGCTCCCCAGCCCCCCACCACGCACTTCCTATATACAAGAGTCCCCCCATGGCTGTGCTGCGCCCTCGCTCTGGGAAGCGAGGGGAAGGGGAAGGTGCAGGAGAGTGGGAAAATGTGACGGTGCCCTATCCTCAACACCATCCCAGCACTGCAGGATCTGACCCTGGCACGAGGAAGCTCCGTGGCAGAGCCCGAGGCACAGGGAAGGCTTTCCATCACTGCCCCTCCCAACCAGCCCCACCTTGGACAGGGGATGTGCAACCCCACTGCAAGTGGCTGCTCAGCAAACACCAACCACAGGGCCAGGGAGGAGGAGGGTCTCTGCGCTGTGCCAGACCCCAACACATGGCATCTGGTAACGCCAGCCGCTGCCAACACCTCCCCACTAATTCCCCCTTGCTCGGCAGGGAGGGGTTGGGCATGTTGGGACAGGGATGAGAAGCTCTCTGGGCAAGAAGCAGAAAAGAAGAGCGGAGGGGGAGTAATGAAGCTACGGCCCTGGAAACCCACCCTGCCCTGGGGTCCGTCGGGGAGGCAGGCATGGGGTGCGGGGAGGCGGCGGGGGTGACGCTGGGGGCTGCCTGCCCGGTGTGCGCCCCATCGTTCACGTGGCGCTGATCCGCCCCCAGTACCTCGCCGCTTCCCAGTCACTCTCCGTTGCAAATGTACAGGTAGATTGGTTGGGACTGAGTCCACGGGGCGGCGGGGGGGCCGTTACTGCGACGCCTGTGACGTGGGGTTCTCTGACTTGCTCTCCTGGCTGGAGGGCGGTTTGCTGTTCCAGGGGCTGTTGGCCCCCAGCGCCGGCGAGTTGTTGAAGCTGTCCTCATCGTCGATGCCG